AGGGAACTACATAGACCATGATCCTTTGCTCCATTTCAGTGCAGACTACATGAAGATATAACAGTTCTAAGCACTTGAAGTCTTTGGATTAAATCTTGTCAAGGAAAAAGTAGCATATTAACAGTTTTGTTCGCAGCCTCCACAAAAATATCGTTGTTATGAACCAGTGCTAGGGACAAAGGAAAATGACACAAACAAGATGTGATATAATATAAGTGGCTTTTATAAAGTAAACGTAAGATATCCAAACATTCCAAATACAACTAAACAATACCTCTAATGGGATAAATAACTCAAAGAAAATACAAACGCCCAAGGGCCAAGCCAAACTGGCAAGCAAACAAATAATAATAATAATAATAATAAGCAATGGGAGGCAACCAAATACACGTCTATCATCGAGAGTGGTGAACTGAAACTGACATCCAGCTGCTAGGAGGGACAGGCGCATAGCACTTTTATTGGACGCGGCGATGGGATGTGTAAGAAGGGGATTGGAGGAGCGGGACGTCAATCCTCTAATCAGGCACGACAAACATCGGGGCCAGCCCAACAGCAACTGGACCACACCCCACCAATCAAGCGCCAGGTACCACACAGCATATGCAAATACGGAAGGCACAAGCGCTAAAACAAACGGGCAGCGTCGAGCGAGGCGGAACCGGGCCGCGAGCCGTAACAATTGTACTGTGATATGTATATCATGAAAATATCGTACTGAGAGATTTGGATATTGTTGCATCGCTAATTGTGAGCCTTCCCACCATATCGTGAGCTTTCCCACGACATCGCAATAAATATCTTACAGTGAGGTTCATACCGTGACGATATCGGTATCGTGAGACTTGGATATCATTGACACCCCTAATATTTAGGCTGGGTTTGTCTCTATAACAGATCTTGTGATGGATGTGATGGTGATATAAAAAGTGCTCCATTGTGTTCGCCCCTTCACTAGAATCATTTGGGTGATTTCAGCCATGGAATTGCCAATCTCTACTGAATAAAAGGTAAAAGGTAGCTGTTTTTTAAAGTTTTTTAAGCATTTTGAGCTTTGGAGATGTAGACTGATTAATAATTAAGGATTACTCAACTCTAGTTATGCTTTTGATGAGATAACATTATAACTTGTGGATGTGTAAATATGTAAATATAGCGAAAAGCTTTGTAAAAATGTGACCATCACTGCATCTCTGAAAGTCTAGTCAGTGCTTGTTTTATGTTTAGCAAAAAACTATTTTTTCAGATGTCAGACTTATAACCACAGTTGGGAATTATGTAATGAGAAAGTCTAGCCTACTGGGCAAAGTTTGTTTTCCGTAGACATGTGATTATGCTCTATCATTGCTGGAGGAAGTGTATATTTTGGAGCCTGTTTACGACGCCATGCTCTCAGTTTGAGGCATAGATCAATACTGCGTGTCCCTCTCGCTGTGCTCAGACCGGTGCTGTCTTGACATGGCAGCGCACTCACCAGGCACCAGTGCAATTCTCTCTGTGATCCAGGACTTTGAAAAGGCAGAGGGTTACTGTCAAAAAGCCCTCCCCAGTCTCCCGCACAGACAATGCTGGCTTCACTGTCTATGTGTATCTAGTTACACACAAAAACACCATATAGAGCGCAATCTCCTGCTGAGGCTTTGAACGCTAATGCCCAACCCGGGTTATGTTGTTTTATTCTAATATCACACTTTCTATTCAACACAAACAGCTCATAGCAAGTGTAAGATAAAAACAGATAAACTCAACCATTAGATAACACCAAAAAATAATCATATCTGTACAGTATAGGAAATGCCTTTAGTGAGTTATAGGTGTTTCTTTGGGCAATTAGCATATATTGTATAAAGAAGTGGACTAAAGGAGCGTGACGTCACCCATAGTGTTCAGCTCCAGTCAAATGAAGCTCACAAGGCTAGCAGTTATAGGAGCAAATTTGGGAATAGGAACTTATTTACGGACAAAATTGTGAAATAAACACACCAGGATCATGTAAAGCAGGTTAATTTGAACATTTTAACATCAAAGTGACACAGAGAGGGGCGACAATGACTTATCCATCGATTAGAAACAGTCGATGGAGCCAAAAGCGCCCCCCATGAACACTTCCTGTTTGGAACGCAGCAACTTCAGGGTTAGCTATGTCCATTTATACAGTCTATTGCAATTAGCCATAACAGGCTGACTTCAGATGCTGATGTTTATTATCACGACATACTGCTCTTGGCTGTTTTGTATGTATTTTTTTCCTGTAAACTGTAAAAATTGGACAGTATAGCCTGAAATCTGGTGGAGAGTAGAGAAAAACATTCAGTGTTACATTAGGATTAGAATTAAAGATTTTAATTATATATTTTTGCAGTACTTCTATAGAACTGTGGTACTATCAAGCTCAATTTCTACAGTTTAAAACAAAGCAGACTAGAAATAGGGATTAAAAGAAAGAAAGAAAGAAAGAAAAAGAAAAAAGATGTCTACATATCTGTAAACAGAGCTCAGTTTTGACATGATCCTAGTCAAATTACAGCCCATCTGGAGTGTCCTATTCATCTGGGTGTGCTAATGCTAACAGTCATTTAGGATAACACTGGCTTTATGAAATGTCATCAGCAAGACACAACCGCCTGTCCTGAAACCTGTCCAGACCTGCTGTTCTCATGAAAACATTGTCCATACATAACTCAGTGGTGGAACATAACAAAGTAAAAGTAGTAAATGACCGTGCTTTTTAGGCACTGTTATCTTAGGTATGTCCTTCACTACATTTCGAGAGAAGGTAGTTGTACTTTCTACACCACTACATTTTTTAAATGGACTAAAAAGTAAAAGTATTTTATACGTTTGTAGTTTGAGTAAACAAAGATACACAAATAAAAACAGGTGGAAAAAAATTATCAATTCAATTGTTTCTGTTCATCAAAATCACAGCATTTGGTGCCACCTAGTGCCTCCGCTCAACTTCATTTCTCTCCAGCGTGAAACAGTAAAACTGGCTGATGAATCAGGCTGACAGGGCATAGCATGCACGGGGATAAACACTGTCTCACTCCCAGAGCGTCAATATATGGTCAGTGCCCCTTAGTGTCAATACTAAACGAAAACAGTGCCCATTTGTGTCCATAAATGACGTGACGTGTTTTTCATTCATTCTAATGAAAGTCCCACAGCGGTCACAAGTGATGCATTGTGATGCTCTTCTACCAGCGCTGATAATGCCCTTGAGTAGACTTTTTCTGTGTGTTTTTGGGATCTAACAATGTCATGGTTCGGTTGCTCGTGTAAGCGTACGACTACACTCTATGACTTCACTACACGACCCCTGTGCGTGCTCTGATATTACTCATATAAGGAAAATGGTGAATAAATTCTACCTGAAAAATGTATGTATTTCACAAAATTAAATTGTGACATTGCCAGAGTTTATTTGTGCCATTCATTTCTGTAGGAATCACTTAAATTTCAATTTTCTAGCAGCTATTTTATGGCTGATTAAAAAAAGTTAAAACATTTTATCATTTTTTTAGCGAGAAATGTGTGATTATATTTCCATATATTTTCACATACACATTGCACAAGCTTTAATTATCGAGTTTGATCGATCGTTTATGGAACGCCGAAAGAAATCTGTTTTATTGTTACAGATAACTTCACAGCGTTGACGACGCGGGGAAAGATGTCTCTTTAATGCAAATCTACTGCTATTTACTAACTGAATTCAACCATTATAGTCATTATAACGGGCACTTATAGCTCTGGCAGCCCTCAAGCTTTATTTAACGAGTTTAAACGATGATTTGTGGCACGTCTAAACTGTGTTATTAATACAGTTAACTTGCTGCGTTCACGTCGCTACATAGAGCTCCGGACCCCACGTGACTCCGCCATTTTGGCAGTAAAAATAGATAGTGCCACCGTCAAAGCTTTCAAGACATTGGAGTACTCAGCTCACTTTAATTCACAAGACATTGAGCTTTTTATCAAAAAATTTTAAATATTTCCGCTGAAGAAGACATCCCAGATCTGCAGTACACCGGCAAACGAACCAAAATTGGATCGATTGACGTGCCTGTTTCCCGGTAGAACAGCGATACCTCCAACTATCAACACCAATGTTCCCTGTTAAGACCACGGGCCATCCTCATCTCAAGTGTCATCATGAACTCATAAAACAGCAGCATGTAGAACTTTGTACAAACTCACCGCATCAGCCCGGATCAGAAGCTCTGAGCTCGGGAGACAGCAGCAGCCAACAGCGGTAAAGAGGAGCAGTTCCCGGAGCTCAGACTCTTCAGGACGGGGCTGGGGTCTGGTCCTTGGTCTGGTCCTCCGAGCGCGTTGGTCAGATGGTCCGGAGGCTCTGTCCTCCATGTGCTGGTTCCAGATGGTGGCGAGCAAGACCAGTGCTTGATGGTCTGGGTCCGAGTGGTTCCGTGTCGTCGTCTGTGCGCTGGTTCCATGCTGGAAAAGCGAGAATGCACTGTGGACTACAGGTCCGGTCGGACTGCTCCGGTCTTCCATGCCCAAGAACCGCAGCTGGTTCCGAGGTGATGCAGAATCCGGACAGAACCGTGAGTCCAGTTTGGTTGGTTATATGTTGTTCTGAGCGTCTGTGCTCCGTGCTCTTGGTTCTTCCCGGGGAAGGTTCTTCTCAGGCCGAGGCTCCTAACATCCCCGCTCCAGCTCCTCTGAGCCCGGCCTGAACCGGAGCTGCTCTGCTCTGGTTCAGGACTCTGGTTTGGATCTAGTGATAAACCTTTATTTGTCCCATAATGGGGAAATTCTAGTGCTGCAAGTATGTGCAACAGGAAAATGGAAAGCATGTAATCAAAATCAATATAATTAACTATTAAAAATAACAATGTGTCGAGCAAAAGCTATAAGGCTCCAGTCTCTTGTGACTTTTTCCCACATTACTCTAGAGGATGGTAAAGAAGATGTATGTTATTTGTCATTTACAGAATGAATTAAATTAAAACAAGAAATGTTATTCTCTTTTTAAGGCATCAACAAGGAGAGATGTTTCACTCCGAGTGTGGAGAGCACAGAGGAGATCAGATTTCCAGAATGTGATCACCTTGTGTGCTCTGGAGCTGTTTAAGAACTCCAAGTGGCCAACAGAGACCATGCCTCAAGTGACTGCCTTCTGATAGGATAAAGGTACCTTTTTAACCAAAGAATTTGTTTAGAACAATAACATTTTATTTGTCATACATATACAAAATTTGGCACATATACTCATGACATGCTCTCGATCCAAAACACTCAATGACACCCACACCCCATCTCACATTGTGTAGCCATGGCAACATGCCAAAAATCTGTCCTTGCCAATTGGATGTCCTTGCACAAACTTTGGCGTAGCCAGATGCATACTGGCAATAGGAACAAAAAATTATATTGTTTATGTTTTTTGTTTTTTTTTAATAAACACACATCAAAATTTAGAAAAAGGTTAGGACTTAAGATAAGGGCTAGAGTTGAGGTTGGGGCTATGACTAGGGTTAGGTTAAAGCTTAGGGTTATGTTTAGGTTTAGGCCTAGCGTTAGGGTTGGGATTATGGTTATTATGGTTAGTGCTCGGCACGGTGTTTGCGGGGCACTGCGTAGGCAAGGGTTGGTGTTTGATTGCCACTTGTGGTTATATTTATTATTTTTCCTCCAGTATCTGTACTTTTATTTAAAAGTGCACTATGTAACTTTTTGACTGAGGGACTGTCACCTTCTTGTTTCTATGGATAGGTTATTGCTCTGCTTTGAATGTTTCACAATATGACAAATAGCTCTACTTTACATGTAGTCAATTACAGGGGATTTTATAGCTCAAAAATACCTTGACCAACAGGCATTCTGACTGTGAGCGTGGTTGGCTCTCCCCAGATCTGACCAGTAAGTTGGCCTGGTTTGGTCTCCATGATTTAATGCCAAACGTTTCAGACTAAGCAATAACATTTCCATGGTGACAAGCAGGTGGTGGACCCTCCACTACTGAGCACCGTGTACTTCTTCCCCCACTGCCATAGCTCCCTAAACAAGTCTAAGACTAATGGCACTTGTTTCTCTGTTTTTGTAGCATTTGTCTGTTGACGACCAGCCTTAGTTCCATCAGGCAGTGTTTTAAAATGAGAAGGTCCTGTTCTTTTGAATCGCAAAACAGACTGTGCAGAAATGGAAGAGGAGAATCAAAGACGTTTGTGGAGAAATGCGCTCACAACGACTAACTGACTGAGCTAATTAACATTTTCTGGCCCTGTTTTAAATGACACCATCGAGATAAAAGCCACTTCCCATTCTTCTCTTTGGCCGAGCAGACTTTGTCAACACAATTTAATTACTTCCCCAATGGTCACACGATGGCACAGTTTATTGATGTCCCTCATTTTAAGTTCCTTTGATTGTGTTTTTTCACTCTCCATGACTTGCAGTAATGCCCGGCAGTGGCAAATGGCTAATGAGGAGCTTTGTTTGTGCCCAGTGCTTTCTGTCACTACTACAAACTTACTTTTTGCTCATATTATTCACACAGCGTAGCCTTCAGGAGACCCTAAAAAAGTGCTTAACAGTCGGTGCTGAGGTGCTGTTCTCCGTCTGCGCATCTTCCCTGTTATGGCTGTAATTAACTTGTGCTGATTGAACCATCAAGCCCACTCCAAATGTGCCTTCGCTCATTTAAATCCCAAAGATGAAGGGAAGGAGAGATACGAGGCTGCTGCTGATTTTGCTCTAATTTGTAATACGATTTTTTTTCCATGTATTTGAGCAAAATGTCTTCCCCCACATTTTAGGATAGATGCATCGTATAAGTATAATGAGGAGCTTTGTTTGTAGAGCGTTTGCCCACTGATCCGAAGGTTGGTGGTTCAAATCCCGCTCTCGACATAAACGCATTTAGTTGACCGTGCGATTCCATTTCCCACAGACGAATGCTGTTGTTATGTGCTTGGGCAATACACTTAACCCACCTCGCCCCCTGTGTCTGCCCACACTGGTGTATGTGTATGTGTGTGTGTGCGAATGGTTCCTTGATGTAAAGAGCTTTAAGTGCCTTGAAGGTACAAAAGCAGATATACTGTAAATATGTGACCATTTACAATTTACCCCTGTGTCTGCATCCAATAATCAGGAGGTGCGCCTTAACATGTTTGTTGCTGTTAACTTCACAATCATGGCAAAACTCTGCTCTGGTCTCTGAAAGTTGTGTGAAGTGCTCTATAAACTCATCACAGTGAATAATTAGGATGTTTGGAATGCATTAGGTTCATTTGGACCACTGTAAACTGTTTAAAATGTAATTTGTGTTCTGTTTTTCATGTTTTTAGACAGTAAAAATCAGGTACATCACCTTTTTAATATATTTTTATACACAGACGTGGGATAGATCGATAAATACTTTATTGAACCGGAAGGAAGTTCAAAGTTCGGCAGCAGCATCATAGAAACAAACATAGCAACGTAGAGAAGATACTGGAATACCATTAGTACACAGTGCGACATACGTGCATAATGAACATCACAGAAAAACACCCACTCACATACACTTCTTATTTTGATCCAGGCAGCTTTATATTAGCCATAATTCTGCATATCTCCCTAAAGCTCCCCGCTCACACACTGAGCTCTCAGTGTTGGGGCATATCATCAGGACTCAGACGGGGCTCTTCAAAGGACCACAGCTCTCAGACTCCGCCCACTCCAGCTCATTTACAGCCACAGGGTCGACCAGGGCACCAGGGGGCATCATGGGGCACCAGCGTCTGATCCTCTGAGGCTCTCACACGCACAGAAATTAGACTTTGACTTTAGCTACACTGGCCTGTATGAGAAGATATAGGATAATACTAACTTATGTTTGCTACTAATGCCATGCTACCTATTACCACCATTACCAGTACTGGACTTGAGTATAAATTTTACGTATATGTACTAAAGTAGATTTTAAAGAGGATACTTTTTACTTTTACCTTCTGTTTATTACACTACATGGACTGAAAATTTGAAGTATTTTTTTATTATTATCTGAGACCTGCTGAAAAAAACTGAGGGGTATATTACATTTGTAGTTTGAGCAAGCAAAAATATACTAATAAACTGCTTTCTGTTGAGCAAATTAATGTTTATTAAAATTGCTACATATGAAGCTTTATTAGATCTCAAAATAATGTACAAAATACTTAAATTTATACTTATACTATATTTATATACTTATATTTATATTTTTATTTTACTTAAATAGATATTTCATGTGATACTTGTTCTTTTTTTTTGCTCCAGTATTTTTACTCCTACTTAAGTAACTAATTGAGTACTACTTCCAGCACTGACTAAAGTTTTAGATTATTCTACACCCTGACAAAGACCAGTCTGGTGGTCGAAATCCATTGGTGTTCCTTTTTAACTTTTTTTTTTCTCCTCATGCCCTTGCAACTGAAAGATGTTGAATAACTGCGCCCTTGAACCCTTTAGTACACGGGAAAGTTATGGCTGTCTTACACTTTTGAATACCTGTGTTTAACTTGAGGATGTGATGCAGGTTTTACTGTAGATAACCATCTGAACAGTGCTACGCTTGTTATGTGTTGTTAGTGAAAGGCATTTAGAATGGACCTTAAGATTCAAGGCATTGCTTGGGCAACAGCTTGGAATGAAATTAGGAGAGACAGGAGTGAAATGAATCCTGGTTGGTCTGTCGCTGCAGCTAATCACATAACAACAAAAGGCAGCCGAGCATAGGGGAATGTGTCAGAGCAAAGTGTATGACTGAAAGAGTATGAAAGAGAACTGACCACAAACAAGTATACAGGTAATTACTCGACCAGCAGGGGTCACCAAAGTGAATCCTAAATAGCACTGACACTTAATGCTCACCTGCAAAAAGTTAAGAGTGGAAAAGTAAATTCAGATTTGTAAACGATAAAAATAAAATAGAAATAAATTTGGCTGTTGAACTCTGTAGTGGACCAAACAGAAAATCATGAACAAAAAAAAAAGCAGGGCCCAACTGAGGTAACTTAAATCAAACTGAAGAGAACAAAACTAACCCAACCAGACAAAGAACAGGGCTGTTTACCTGAGGACCAACTAAAACTGAACACAAGACGGGAGAATCACACTAAATAATTAACTAAAACTAATAACTTAATCAAAGTAACAAGAAAGCAAATAAGTATAATACAGAAAATATTAAGTGATAATACAGTGACTGTGAAGAAAACTAAACAAACTAAAAAACTAAAACTAAAAAGTAAATCTAACTAAATAGTGCTCCCCCTTTGTTTGGCATTGATGGTCTCTGCCATGGGTCCTCCAAGTGTAAGTAAGTAATTCAGACTTATATTAACTAAATGTGAGCACCCAAATTAGAATACAAGTCTAAATAAAGTAATTAAACTGTGTGATGTAATTAACTTAATGTACAAGAAATGAAATTAAATGAAATAATACTGACTCTGTGGCGTGGTTGCAGAGGTATCCACCACAATCAAAAAACTGAAATTGGACTGAAATTATGACTGAACTGCTGATCCCAATCTAATAAAGCATCAAGGGCCCATATTACGATATTATCTGATCTATGTGATAATAGTGTTTCCTCATCAATCACATACCTGGAGTTTTGCTTTCTTTCGTTCACACAATATGTTTTTAAATTCCAAACACCTTCATTAGAATCATTTTGATAATTTTAGCCCTTGGAATTCCTATTGAACAAAAGGTAAAAAGTAGCTGTTAACTTGAAAACTCGAGCTTCGTGACATCATAAGGTAGAACAGAGCAGTTTGAGCTTTGGAGATATAGATAGACTAATAATGAAGAATTACTTAAAGGTGTGAATGAAACAAAACACAACTCCAGGTATCGGTTTGAGGAAGTAGCAACATTATAACATAACTTAAAGCTCACAAGAGTCAATTTTGCGTAATATAGGACCTTTAACTTCTATTTCCAAAAATGTCATAGACAACCTGCTTAAAATTATTCATGTTGTATTATTGGCATGAGCTCATTGTAACTGTAGACTCTTATGGACTTTGGACTTTCATTGCACTGGAGATAATCTTTCGATATATATACAATGCACTGTGTGACTAAGAGAGCCGCTGTATTCTACTCTTTATGCAGTGGATTCATAACTAAACACAATGGTGATAATATTTTTTTTCTTCTAACCTGTTGCACTTCATTCTTTTTTAATTCTTTCATGTTTCTTTCAGGCATTGTCAGCCTTAACCTTTGTGTGAATATTGGATACGGGCCATGTTTTGCGCTCGCTTTGGTGCATGCTCTGTCTACCCAAATCCCAAACACCACAATGCCAGCTCATTAGCCTTCATTTTCCCCGAGTTTACAAAAAAATCTATTTGCCAAAGGTCGACTCCGCAGTCCAACACATCGCTGGTTCGTTCTCATTTTGCGTCTCACCGAGTCATACTTGCCAGCAAATACTGAGCGTCTTGGTTTTTGATTCGCCGCTATCTGCCTGTCACATCTTATCTAGCCCTGTGCTCTTTCTATGGAGCATGGGCCCAGCTGCAATGGAATCATGCTCCTTCTCACACTCTTCACCATTAAATAATCATCTGGAGAAAGTTGGCCGTGTCCTGGCTGACCTGTTTCCATGGGCACACCGAGCATTTTGGGGCGAATGGAGTCAACAAATTTGCCACGGTGCAGGAGAGTTTTTGTGGGAGGTCGTCTTGGTAACGCTAGCTGCTCCAAACAGGAATGAAACTAAATTGGGTAACACTTACTTATAACTGCAATACTTACAGCATCATGTTCATCCATACTCCATACAACTGTACAATAACCTTCTGTAATAGATAGATCATTATTTCATCTTTGCACTGTGTCCTTACGACCTCTTGTATATAGCTGAGATATATATTTGTATTATTATATTTCTATAGTTTGTTTTCTTGTACATATACATTTATACAATTATGCCTTATTTGACAGCAGTCTCTTGCTATTTTTGCTTCTTATTTTGAATTTATTATTACCATTTATATTTTTTTGCTCTTTATTATTATAATATATTGTGATGTGTCCAAATAATTTCCCTTGTGGATCAATAAAGTCTAAATCTAACAACACAAATAGGAATTTAAAAGCGTACTTTTATGCCTTATGGTAAAATATTATAGCCAAAGAAACAACATTTTCATGGAAACAAGCAGG